ACGTCGACGCCAGGTTGGCCATGCTGGTCAGCGTGTCTGGATGCTCCTCCCCAAGCACCCTCTTTCTCGTCTCCATCACTTGCACAAACAGCTCTTCGGCCTCCTTCCACCGTCCCCCTAGGTTTCTTGCCAATCCCACCATTTCCATACTGCTTAACGTCCTGGCATTATTCCTACCTAACAAACTTGCTCTAACTTCCGTTGATAATGTAGACATCATCTCTGCCTCGCCTGCACTTCCCTTCTGCCACGCGTACCATGCCGCATTGTACAGCAGCAGCGCCCACTTCTGAAGACTCTCGTTGTTTCTCGGTCTCTGCTTTACCACTGCTGTCGCGTGTGGGAAGAGCGCTTGGCATCTCGCCCAGTTCTCGTACCATCCTGGCGGAAACTCCGCACAGAGATTGGCTATGCACTGCTGCTTCCACCGCTCCAACTGACCTTGGCTCTCTAGCCATCTCCGGGTAGCTAGCTGCACAAGGCTGTGCATCTCAAAGGCGTCTGTAGTTATTGCAAGGGAAATAAATGAGAACTCCTGCAGCATGACGATGTCGTCTTCAAATGCACGTTTGCTGACCTCCCTCTCTCTGCTTTCTTGACTAGACGCTACAATGCTCTGCCCCCCGTGTCGCTCTTTATAGCTGTGTAGAAGGAATTCTGGCAGCCCTTGCCGGTCAAAGAAGCTCATCAGAGATAGGAGGTTAGCAGCCGACTCCCGTACGCCTCGAATATAGTTAAACGAGATCTGCCACGTTATAATAATAGAGTTCTTAGCCTCCCTGTCCCGCCGTAGACTGCCTGCTTCGTAGTCTAGGAGACTTGTCTTTGTATCGTCGTTCCTGCGGAACTCGTCCAGGTACTGGCGCACCGTGCATCGCGGTGCACGCTTCTTGATGTACGCGGCCGCCTGCACGAGAGCGAGCGGCATGTATTCCAGCGCTTCCGCCAGCTCGGTCATGCCATCCTGCTCGACCTTGCCTCCCAGTTTTCTGTTCATGAGGGCGTGAGCATCGGCCTTCTGCATTGGCTTGATGAGTATGACATCGCCATCCTCGACCAGGCACGACGTCGCCCGCTCGGTCCGGCTGGTCACGATGACAGCGCCATGCCTGCTCGGAGGCAGAGATCGGGATACTAGCGAGAGGACGGCCGCATCGTCGGCGTTGTCGAGCACCAGCAGCCACCTCGCCTTGCTCTTGTCGCGCAGCCAGTCGTGCACCAACTTGAACACGTCCGCCTGCGGGTCCTTGCGCCCAGCGAGCTTGACTCGGTTGGCGATGTCGCGGAAGCCCTGCTCGAGCCGGGCGGGATTGCTCGCGTGCACCCAGAACACCCATGTCTCTGGATATTCATCCGCGGTTTGGTAGCAGTGCTCAATAGCGAGTTGCGACTTGCTGTCTCGGCGTTAGCGAAGTGCACTAGCCTTGGGTTGTCGTGCTCACCCCACACCGCCCAGGCCCACCAGGGCTATGCGCGACGCCGGGGCAGCGCATTTCTCGCGTATCTGATCGAGTAGCGTTCCGCGGTCGACGAAGTCTGTGTCGCGGCGGAAGGGGATGGCGCAGGAAGGGGCCGGCGGAGTCTCTGGTCTCGCTGCAGGGACGGCGTTAGCCAGTAAACAAGAGACCCATTAGAATAGCATTTAAGGCTAAGTTTACCTGATGATGGATAGATCTTATATGCTAACACAAGCACGGTCAGTACGGATTCGTCAAAGTGTACTTAGGCACGTTCTGAATAGATGCTAGTGAATAAGAAAAATTGCCTTAATTAAGAAATTAATGTTACTACGTGAGAACGATAACTACGTACTTGAAGGGCCCTCATTGTATACCCCAGGATTGCTGATCTGCCGGTTGTTGCTTCCACCAACTACATAATTCGTCGGACTGCCGCCCTCATTGGCAATAATGTTGCCTGCTCCAGTATGTGTATATTTGCCGTCGTCGTTATTCACTAGTGCTTCTGTGGCTTGCTGCAGTGCATCCACCTTGTCGCCAATAACATAAATCTCCTTCTGCTCCAAAAGCCTCAAGTCGTCTTGAATAGTCACCAGGAGCTTCTGCACCTGGCTGTCTCGACCAAAGAAAACAGCCTTTGTGCCTCTCCAGATGCGCTTGGTACGATTCTCCCCATCTTTTGGGCAGGCTTTCCTGAATATGTCCCTTAGTTCGGCTAAAGCCTCCGCGCATTGTCTTAAAATCGGCTGTACGCTCTTGCTGGCATCCTCTGTGACCCTCCCTTCCTCGCAGCTCTCATGCGCACTTTCCAACAGTTCTTCGATCGCTGGTAGCTTTTCAAGTAGGTCTCGAAGTTTTGGTGGTAAGCCTTGAGCATCATGGACGGCACGCCCGATGTCAATGATCGTATTAGCGATGCCGATGCAAGCGTCGATCAGCTGGATGGTGGTAATGGCTTCAGCACCAGACATCTCGGATCATCGGTGCCTACACAAGCCGGGTCTGTTGAGCAGGTACGGGGGCGTGTTCCGGCGAAGAGTAGCGAACGTAAACAATCCAGGGAGAGCTGCTATCTGGAACTGAATATGCTGGCAGTTTCGAATCATTAGGACAACCAGAAGGGTTGATAGATTGTAGCATCATGGTCGCAGGTAGGCTGCGAAGGCAGCCTTGGAAGGCAGTGCATGCTAAGGCGACACCAAGCAACACGCCCCCACACCCTCTCTCTGATCATGAACGGACTGTTATGTAGGCCAGCTTGCACAGATCGCGCAGATATCTTTTGTATGAGAAACTTTTGGTGGTAAAGTTAACCCACTATCGATCTGTTCAAGAGAGACTTGCAGCTACGTGTTACGATCCAGCGTCGTACGTTAGCGGCTTAGCGGTCATTAGTACCGGCTCAAGGCTAAGCAAAGGCGGGACTAGACCAGAGTGTCACAGCACAGGATAGGGAGCAGGATTCTGTGGAGCAGGCTCTCGCGATACTGAGAAACACGTGACTCGTAGATAACGCCAGCCACGTGCTTGGGCTTCTCTCACGTGTCGCGTATCTTTCGCTGTAATTATTACGTGATACGAATACCCTTGATTCACCCATCTCGCTTAGATAGAAAGTACTAATAAACATAGCGTTAATGCATAAATTTGTCTTCTTTATCCGCCATCGGGCTGATGATGGCCTATTAGCGTGATTCTAAGTCTCGAGCGGTCGGATACTGCGCAAATTGGGTTGTAGGGACGACTAAAGCTTAGCTTGAGAGCTGTGGTATAGTTGCCTTGCTCTGCTACTAAACGAGGCTTTCGCAAACTTAGACGCGATGGCGACAACAAGGGTGGTAATTTTCTAGAATGTGGTGGTTAGATTCTTAGGAAATTCCCCTAGTACGGAATCTAAATAACAAAATGTTAATTAATTAATAGAGGAAGGATTTTCACAACTTTAAAGTCTGTGTACCTGTTGATTTTCTCGCTACAGCGTGGTTCTCGCTACACAGTAAGGGATGGTACCTACTTACACTATGTAACTAGAAAGAACATCTACAGCATTAAACCTAAAAAGTATGCTAAGTAGTTTATCTTTAATAACTAATACTGCATAGTATACTAAGGTAAACTATAAAATATAGGCGTAGTAATAATCTCTACTATTAGAAACATACACTACTAGCAAGTTGCTTACACACCTAAGTTACTTACTTTTGCTAAGACTCTACTAAACTGCTTTTTCTATACTAATATATTCCTAACAACACTACTTAAACGTGCTAAAAGAACATTAAATATAGCTAATACTTTAAGCTTTTAAACAAAACATAATACTTTTAAAGTAATATACTATAACGTACTTCATAGGCGAGTTGCTTACACACCCAAGTCGCTTACTTTTGCTAAGACCCTACCCTAACAAACTTTATTATAGCCTATAACAACCCGCTCTAGCACTATATAGTACAGTACAGCCTAGAATATTATTTAGATACTACTTCTACTGCTTACTTACACATTTGCGCGTTATGCCTAGTCTAATTGCACTGTCTGCAGCGCCTTTAGAATAGCTTACCTACTTTAGCTTACACCTGCTTCTTTGCCTTTTTTCTGTTACTGCGCGCTTTAAACTCCTTTAGAGCTATTAAGCATAGGCTTTTCTAAATTATTAAAGTCTTTTTTGCTTTAATTTACTTTTTTTTATATAATTTACATTACATAGCAGCTTTATTAGCTATTTAAAGCTTAGTAATTTCTTATTACACTAACACTAGCTTATGTGTAATTATTACTACTTTTCTTAAAACTTTTTTAAACACCTTAACTATAAAAGTTAGTAAACTATTTATATGCTTTTAAATTTTTATTTTTATAAGTATTAATTATAACCTATGTTTTAGAGTATTGCTTAGAGTTTATAACTACTAAAGCTTATTATATATAAGTAGTAGTAGTAATAAAGTGCACAACTTTATATTAAAGCTTATTATAACTTATTATAAGTTAAAAAGAACTAATCTAGCGCTTTAAAACTTTTTTTAGATATTACTAAAAGTAATTATAGCATTATAAGCTACTTTAAAGCATAGTAAAAACTTTATTTTTATAATATAAGTAATTTAGTTGTGTATAAGGTTTTTAGCTTAGTATTTATATACTTTTTTTAAAAAAGTAAAATAACTTATATTAAGTAGCTATAAAAAGTGTAATAAGTAAAAAGGTATATAAATAGTAATAATTTTATTATTTTTATAGTATTACTAAAAATAAAGTAAGTTATAGCTTTTATAGCTATTAATAACTAGTAAATAGTAGCTACTAACAGTACACTTTTTTATATGCGCATTAAAGTGCTTTAACTAGTCTAAACTAAGCTAATTAGTAGTTTAGCTGCGCTTAGAGATTATAATAACTTAATTTTAAAGTAGATTTTTCTCTTTATACTAGTTTAAAAAGTAGTTGCTACCCTAAAAAATAATAAAAAGTAAAATAGCCTACCTTTTAGCATTAATGCCCTAGATAGCTGTTGTCTACTTCTAGTTACTTAGCTAGACTGCTTTTAGCTATTCTTATCTCTCTAAACTTATAATAACTGCTCTAGTAGATATCTAGCCTATTATAAACCTTATTTTATTAAAGTTATACATGTTATTATTCTAAATGCTATACTTAGCTTTAATATTCTTTATAAGGTTAAACTAGCTTTAAATTACTATAAGACTTTTATAAAAAGCTTTTTTATAGTTATACTTACACTTAAACTTTACTTTAAGCTTTAAGTAACACTTAATAAATATATTAAGCTAGTTTATACTAATATAGCCTATATTACACTTAGTGTGTAAAGAATTAGCTATATTAGCTATAGCTACTAGCTAGAGGGGAAATCTTTGTGTATTTAGCTTAAGTATGTGCTAAATAATTACCTACTTTTTATTATTATCTAGCTTTTATAAGTTAGCTATATAATTAGCTTAGAAAGGTTATCTAGCGTGTTAGTTACTTATTATTTTTTAAAAAACCTTATAGATAGCTGTAGCGCGTTACTTAAAAAGTGTTGTGTTTTATTTAAAAGCCTAAAGTGTAAGCTACATTTAATGTTCTTTTAACATGTTTAAGTAGTGTTATTAGAAATGCATTAGTGTAGGAAAAGTAGTGTAGTAGAGTCTTAGCAAAAGTAAGTAACTTAGGTGTGTAAGCAACTCGCCTATAAAGTACGTTAGCTATATATAAGGTCTTTTAAATAATAATAAATAACTAATACACTAGATAACCTTTATAAGCTAATTTTATAGCTAACATATAAAAGCTAAATAATAATAAAAAGTAGGTAATTATTAAGCATATACTTAAGCTATATATATAAGAATTTTTCTTTTAGCTAGTAACTATACCTAATATAGCTAATTTTTTTACACGCTAAGCATAATTTAGGCTATATTAGCATAAACTAGCCTAATGTGTTTATAAAGTGTTATCTTAAGCTTAAAGTAAAGTTAAAGTATAACTATAACTATAAAAAAGCTTTTTATAAATTATTTAAAGTAATTTAAAGTTAGTTTAGCCTTATAAAGAATATTAAAGCTAAGTATTGTAACAGCGCAGGCAAGACAATGAGTCTAAATGCGGTAGGAATCCACTTAGAGGCATATAAGAGTGCGTGGGGACTTAATAACCTGGGAATCTTATTAACACCTTGTTACAGCCAACGAATAGACTGTAATTTCCCTATTAGCTGTTCCTTACAGCCTAAGCAACAAGAGATAGAAAACGCTTAATCCTGCGTTAAACGAATTATGTAACAGGATAGATAAGAAATAGCTCTAGCTTTTAGACAAAAGCCTAGCAGAGTGCATTATCTAATAAGACTACAGGCTTTGCAGGTCTGCAGGTTATGCAGGCTATGCAGGCAACAGGCATGCAAGCATGCATAGCATGCACTGCATGTAAACCTTATGTATATAGTCTTAATCACAACTATAGTTAGAAGGCTGTAATTACTGTTTAGTCTTTACTTACCTAATAAACTAAAAAGTAATAGTACTTTTATAAAAAAAATAATTACTGCCTTATATATTTTACACTATATATACCTTTTTTTATCTTTTTAGATTAGGTTTACTAGCTTCCTATATAGCTGCTAGGCTAAACTACAACCTGCTTTCTTTACCCCTACCTTACATATACTCTGCTTAACAGACTATACACCTAATCTAGCTAAGTTCTTCTCCTACCTGCTAATATAACTATAGGCTGTTGTGCTTCTAAAAACACTATTTTATTAAAGTAAAAATTATAACAGTAATTACTACTACCTGTAAAGTATAGCTACTACCACCTTAGACATTAGCATAACAGGCGCCTTAGCTGCTAGCACTAGCTAGACCCCTATAGTAACTAAAGAGGTATAAAACTAATAAATATTATTTCTTTATAATAAGCTAGAGCAGCTTAAACAACACCTCTAGCAATAAGTATAATAAAGGCCTTTAAATATTTAACAGCTATAAGCCTTCTAGCTAGAGGTAGCTAACTTTTAAAACTTTATAAAAAAAAAAACTTTACACCTTACTCTACCTAAAGCATTTAACAGCTTTGCTAGAGATCTAAAACCCTTCTTTATAAAGTGCTACCTCTATATGTAATATAATAAGGGTGCTTTTAAAACTAATAAAGAAATAATTTTATAAATAAGCCTACACTTAGAAAGATTACCTACTATATAGTTCTAACTACACGCTAATAATTAAATAAACTATTACGTAAACAGGAAACTTTTATTACTAAAAACACAAAAAGTTTTTAAAAACATTAATTCTTTTAAATTAGCTCTAACTATAATTTATAAGCTAGTTAATTAAAAGAAATAAGCAGTTAATAAAATAAACTCTTTATAATAAAAAAAAAGCTCTGTCTAATACTACACAGCCTACTTTAGAGAGCAACTAGCTATCTGCAGATAGATAGATTAAAAAGTAATAAAATAAATGTTTTATAATAGGCTTTTTAAAGTAATTAAAAATAAATTTACTTACATAAAGAAGCCTAAAAGCTTTAAGGAATATATTAAAAAAGCACTTACTTATAATAAAAGACATGCTAAGTAACATAAAAAAAAATAAGTGTTATAACTTTAAAACTTAAATAGTTTTAAAA